TCTTATAAACCTGAGTAATTGTATAAATCTGTGTGAATTAAGGCAACAGTTAGGCCTTCGTGATAACAACAGTCGTTATGAGTCTTTGGAAATACACGAGTCTTAGTGAATTACAGTTGAAAACGTCTGAGTGAAACTAATTATAAATATAGGACATAGGAATAAATCAGTAGATTACTACGTACATTAAAAAGAAACAACTCTTGAACACCTCGTTTAACTGTAGCGATCCACTAAAATCGCACGTTAATAATATATTAGATATAAATAATATTTTATAATAACAATAAGTATTAAGTTTTAAAACGTAATCTTGTATATTAATTATCTCAAAAATAAGAAATCCAAATCAGCTTAAATTTTAATATTTTATAAATAATATATTAATTTATTATATACTTAAATTTTATTTAATTTGAATCATTAGATAATTAGAAAATATATTTCAAAAACTTTAACTAAAATCTAAAATCAAAAATATTTATGCATTTACATTTATATATATATCTTAGCTTCTACTGATTTAAATTAAATGAAATTTTAATATATTATATATTGAGATTGTATCAAGATTATATAAAATTTGAACTAATTCTGATCAGTGCAACTTGAGATATATGATGTCAAACTTAGTGTTCAGAAACTTTTGTTAACCCTCTGTAATATAGATTATGAAAATGATGATATATCAAATTATATAAGAGAAAATGATGATGTATTTAAAAGAGCTGGATAAGCTAAAAGAAATTTGATTTTTTATCAACATTTTTTGTAAATATTAAATTTTTAGTAAAAATGTTATAAAATTGGTTAGTTTTAAACAATTGTATGTTTTATAATATATAATAAAATTTCAGAAGTATTAATGCATTTATAATGTTTTTTATAATAATTAAAATCCAATTAACTTTAGTTTAAATTAAAATTATTAAATAAATAATTAGTAAAAAAAATAAATACAAAATCGCAAATTACTCGAGATCTAGTCATTGAATTTCGATGAAAGTTTTACCATTCGAATCCTCTCATTGTAGCAAATCGAATGATATAAACTACATTTTTCTAGTACCAATATTGACAGAGATATAACCACACAAACATTTATCAATTTTTGGTGACAGAATATTATCCAGTGATTGGATTTCGATAAATATTATACCATTCGATTCGACTCAGTTAGAGGATTCGAATGGTGGTAAAATTATCATTCTAGAATCGATATTGGCGGAGTTATGCTTTAATAAAGTTTAAATATATATTTTGACTAAAATTTTGTTAATTTTGCCTGAAATTGCAAAATCAGACCTTTGCAGATCTATTCTTAAGTCTTATCAATGCTTTTAAGTAATCTCTAATGTAAAAAATAATGCAAATTGAATAAATGTTAATGAGAAAATACTGTAACTTAAAAGTCAAAGAATAAATAAAAAAGATTATTAAATTTGATTCTTAATACGCAATTTTACCTTTATCAATTTTTTTTATTTCTTTTTACACTTAACAAAATAACAAAGATTTTATTATAAATTGTTATTATTATTATATTACTATTATTATTATTATTAAATTGTTATTAATATTGATTATTCTGAAGATAATTTAAAATGCATCATCTTTAAATCTAATTCTTTCATTCTAAGCTAAAATTCCATGCATGATTGATATCAAATTCCATTTTTTTTTGTAATGTTTCAGCTTTAAATTTCTCAATTGCTAACTCTTCCTTTTTATAAATCATTTCTGCTTCTCTGGCTTCTTTTTCAACTATTTGCTTCTTTTCAAATTGCTTATTTTCAAAAGTAAATCATTTTTTCCAAATTGCTTGTCGCATATTATCCATAAAAATCATAGCTTCAGCTAATGAATTTTGTGAAATTAACTTTCTTTTTTTATTAACTTGATCATTTTTTATTTTAATGGGATTTTCTTTAGATTCTTGTTTTTCTTCAAAACTATTAAACAATTCAACATTATTAGAAAAACCATTTACTAAGAATCCTGGATTGTGATTTCACGTATTTCAAATAAAGTGTTAATTTTTTCAAACCATTTCCATTTTGCTTGTGCTCCTCTTCCTGATTTATTTTTCTTTCTTTAATATCATTATATTTGGTTACTAGGCAACTTAATTAATTTTTGATCTGTTCCAATTGTTTTCCTGAAAAAACTTTATTAGAAGCCATTTTAACAAAATTTGACTTGTTTTTTTTGTAACTAGAAAACTTTTCTTCAAGAAATTTTATCAATAATCTTGTATTTTTATTATTTCAGCTTTCTTTTTCATTAACGGATCCAGATTAAGAAGTATTATTAAAAGTACCTTTTTTACTTTTTTTTTTATGAATTTTTGGTTTAACGAGTGTTGTAGTAATATTAGTAGTAGGGTCAACTAGTGGTAATGAATTAAAATGTAAAACAGAGGAGTTGGAGGTTGTTAAAGCTATAATGTTTGGATTTTGTATAAAAAATTCTTGTAGTTTAGGGGTAATTGAACGAAAGGTAGAATTTGAGTTAGACATTTTAAATTAAACACAGCAAATTTTAAAAAAAAAATCACGTTATCTCAAAATCAGCTAATCTGAATTTAATTTATTAAAATTAATCAAGGTGAGTAACAAAAATGTTGATCGTGTTGATTACTCACCTGATCGTTTCAGTAGCCAATAATTTTCAACTTCAATTTTTGGTCAATATGATCTGATCTAGAAATAAACAGGATTACTGTATATCATTTATTTTATTATTTAGATTATTTTCGATAAGCTTATAATAGTTTGCGTGAAGATTAATATTAAAATGAAAACTATTATAGGAAATATCATTTAAACAGCAGAAAATATGAAGGTTATTATTCATGTAGTAAAAGTAATGATAGACATTACTTATGTAATAAAAACTATGAAAGATAATGTTCATGTTTATATTTCATGTATTTACTTTTAAAAAAATAAAAAATTTTTTTGTAATTTTTCTATTAATATGTTGTACTATTGATATATTATATTCAGAATTGTCTATTTCATCTTCAATTTGATCTGGTAAATTCTTAATTTTATTTCTAATTTGTAAAGATTACTTTCTATTTTATTTACATAATTTTTTATTATTAAAAAATTTTTTAAAAATTATCACCATTTGAAACACTTAATGAAATATTATATTTAATGATTTTAAAAGAAAATAAAAAGGATTTTTGTAACTACAAATTCCAAAAACTATTATATCATTCCTTATTACTTGAAATCCTATAAAAGGAATTTGTTAAAGGTTATCGATTATTGATCTTCCTTCATCATTCTTAAATCCTTACCTTTTATTAATTCTTCTTTTCTTATATCAATATCCATTTTTACATTCACAATTTATTTTTTTTCAATCATAATTTTCCTTACCAAATAGAGGAAATAATCATGAAATTTCACCAAAACAATCTCTATATCATCAAATTCATTTAATATCAATTTAGAATCAAATTATATTACTTATTTTCAATATACTGCTAATATGAATTGAAAAATCTTTACTTAATTTCCGATTTCCTAGCAATCATCCCATATGTAAATAATAATAGAAATTTTAATTATTTTGATTTATTGGTTAAGATCATATCAAAATTCTTTGATGATGGAAATATATTAATAGTAAAAAACGAAATTCAATTTATTAATTTTAATTAAAGTCAAATTTTAAATCGACCGTTACACAATCTGACACCTCGCGTTGAAATTTATAAAGCAGAAATAATTCTGTAAATCTGTACAATCAAACACGTGGCCATGTCTTCAAAAGTAAGTTCAATTAATTCATCTACGGATGAAAATTGTCTTCCAGCTGAAACCTTTTCAGGTACTCAAATAGAACTATCTTTTCTCATTGTCCAGTCTTAATTCCTGTTCTAATACTAATAATTCTTTCCCTGTTCATTAACAGACCCACACTTTCCAAATCCTACTACTCTTCCCTTAGAATTTCATCGTTACATTCTTGAAGAAATATTATCTGAAGACGGATTACTTATTTTAAGTCGCGGATTGGGTTTATGTAGAATAATATGTGCATTGATAAGGATTTATTCTGATAGAGGATCTTTAGTAATATTATTGAATGCTAGTAGACATGAATTAAGTTGTATTAAAGAAGAAATTGCTGAAGGTGGGATTAAAAAACCGGGACTTAGAGTTGTTAATAATGAATCTAACGCTAAAGAAAGGTAAAGGATTTGTTAATAAAAAAGTGTGATAGAAAGAGAGCGGAAATGAGCGAAAGGATGTACTCGTTTTAAATTTTAGATCATTATCCAATATATTATATAATTGATTAATTTAATAGAGTATCTTCTACAATTTTAATCATAGATCAGAATTATACGTTTCTGGTGGTATATTGTCTATAACTTCAAGGATACTTATAATTGACCTTTTACAAAAACGTATACCGACTTATCTTATTACTGGAATTTTAGTTATGCATGCTGAAAGGTATCTCATATATGTATATTAATCGGGATGAATGAAAATCTTTTCATACAAATTTCTGTTTGGTAAACATTGTATATTATGTTTCTTAGGGTAAATGAAACTTCAACTGAAGCATTTATCTTGAGAATAATTAAGGAAGAGAATAAGGTTCTTAACATACTTATTTACTTATATCTTTATATTATTCCATTATAAATCTTATTTTAATGAGCGTATTATTATTTTTTTTTTTGCAATCATGTTTTAAAAAATATCATCCTCGATTATTTATGTATCAATTAAAAGGAAGGGTTTATTAAAGCATTTTCAGATTCACCCGAATCATTTATTTCTTCAGGATTATCACCTTTACAAACTACCTTACAATTACTTCAAATACGTAAAGTTTTCTTGTATCCGAGGTTTGTTTTAGTTGCAACAAATGATTGTTTTTTCACTCACTTATTGCTTTCATCTTTATTGACAATTTATTGACTTTAATTTATTTATCATTACATTATCCATTACAACTTTTCGCGCTCGTTTATTAACTGTGATGCGTTTCTTAACTATCTCTTTTGCTTTCTATATTGCTTTGACAATCTCACGTAGATTCCATGTGATGATAAGAAATTGTTTAGAACAACATAAAGCTGATGTAATAGAATTGCATCAATCTTTAAGTCCATCAATGACTGAGATACAAGCGGCTATTACTGAATGTATTGAAGCTTGTTTAAGCGAAATAAAAAAAGTAAATGGAAATTGGGTAGGTTATGTTAATACCTTGTTTTTTTTTTTTAATACATATCAAAATTTTTAATCTTTTTTATTATAATCAAAATATATGTGGCGTAACCATGTATAATTAGTTAGATGTTGATGATTTAACGGTGGAAAATTCATTTTTTAGATCCTTTGATGTTATATTAAGACAACAATTAGAACCTTATTGGCATCGTGTTAGCTCGAAAACTAAATTATTAGTTAATGATTTAACCACCTTAAGAAAATTACTCGGGTAAAGCTTATTTAATAACCATAATTTCTTTTGTTTCGTAATGCCATAATATCGCAATGAGTAAATTTATTTAAAAAAATAAAATTCTTGATATAATTTAACAAAAATATTAAAAAGAAAAAAAAAATCTCCGATTATAGGTACTTGGTCAGTTATGATTGTGTATCATTCAATAGTTTTTTAGAGACTATTATTGCAAGTCAAACTCCTACTTCTGCTTTATCTCACCAACAACAATCTCCGTGGCTGTCCTTGGACGCTGGAAATACAATATTTATTGTAATTATTTTAATTTTAATATATATATATATATTGCACGAGAAAATTCATCGTTACTTTTTATTAATGAAATTGATTTGATTTTTATTTAATAACAGACAGCAAAAAGACGAGTATTTATTCGTACATTAAATACAAATACTAATATTACTAATGAAACAAATAATGATAGCACATTAAACCAAATTCAACCAGATGCTCCATCGTCAGAATTTCCACCAGGCATACAACCTATATTAGAAGAACTTCCAAAATGGAATCTATTAGCGGAGACGTTACAAGAAATTGAATCAGATATAATAGGTCATAACACAATCATTTCTACAGAAGGAACTGTATTAATCATGGTAGAAAATGAAAGAGAATGTTCACAATTAAGAGAATATTTATCAACCATGCACATAGCAGAACAACGGGGATTAAGTAAAGGTGGTTTTATGTTGAGAAGATTGTTAAAAAATTATTTCAGGTGGAAAAGTGGATTGAGTAAAGTTAGTAATAATTTAATTAATGAAAGTAATAAAGAAACTGTTGGGGGAAGAAGTACTAACAGTGGGAAAGGTATGTTTGAAATTAATATAGAAGTTTAGATTTTAGGTGAGAAAGGTTTTAACCTGTTTTTTTTATTATTAAAAAAAACTGATTAGGAAATGAACAACCAAAAAGAGGAATATTCCAACGTGGTCAACAGCCATCTAATAAAAGAAGACGTTTACGTGGTGGATCAAACACCGCTACTTCATCAGCTAATTCTATAAGAAAAACAAATGTTAAGACACTTGAAGAAGAAGCTCAAAAAATAGCAAATTTGTAATTAACCATCGAAATACTTGTTTTTAATATATATATATATATACCATTGTAACTAATTTACTATCATTCTCATTTTAGTATAAATTCAAACCAAACCAACTTATCAGAAACAAGTTCTTCTGCTGCGGCTTCTGGCTCATTGAAAGATAATGCTTTGACTACAAATCCTAGCTCTCATTATGATGATGAATTTGATGCGGAAACATTTTCTACATATTTTGGATTATTAGATTTAAATGATTCAATTATTATTAGACCTATAAATGGTGATTATGATGATAGAATATTGGAATCTATTAAACCTAAATATATCATCATTTATCATCCTGATCAAGCATTTATTAGAAGAGTTGAGGTATTGAAAATCTTAATGACGAATTCTGATTATTTTGAATTTTGATGGATAAAATATTAAGATGTGTGATCAACTTTTTTCCCTTTTAGGTATATCGAACTCTACATCCTGATTTACCATGTTTAGTATATTTTATGATGTATGAAAATTCTATTGAAGAACAAAAATATTTAAGTGTAATACGTAGAGAGAAAGAAGCTTTTGAAAAATTAATTAGAGAAAAAAGTGTAAATATTCGACATTGATTTTACACGATCTTTGAAGAAATGGCTAATTATTTTGTCATTTATATATTGATAGATTATGGCTATACCTTTGGGAAGACCTTTGAGAGTGCTTCATAGTCAATCTGACGTATCTTCGAACGTTAATACACGTATAGCAGGTGGTAAAATTATACAAGAAGTTAAAGAACCATCAAAGGTAATGCAACTAAAGTTATTTCCTTTTCTCTTCTTTTCTGGAATGTTTTTATCTGAGAGTTATTCTTTTTTTTTAAACCTTATATTTACACTCCATATTTTTCATAATTAGATTGTAATTGATGTAAGAGAATTTCGTAGCTCATTACCATCATTATTGCACCAATCAGGAATCGAAATATTACCATGTACTTTAATAATTGGCGATTATATATTATCACCTAATTTATGTGTTGAACGTAAATCAATTTCTGATCTATTTGGAAGCTTTAATTCAGGAAGATTGTAAGTCTTAAAGACATTTTTTATATTTTTTTTTCGTTAATATTAGTTTATATAATGTAACATATTATGATTTAAAAATTTAGGTATACGCAATGTGAGGCTATGTGTATACATTATAAGCAACCTATATTATTAATTGAATTCGATAAGAATCAATCATTTACATTACAGGTAAAGTTTTGAATCAAGTATGGTGGGGTAACATATAACGATTCTCATTTCTATTTTTTTTTACTATAGTCTATAAATGAAATTAAATCAGATATAGGAATGAATGATATATCATCAAAGTTGGTATTATTAACAATTACCTTTCCAAGACTGAAAATTATTTGGTCAAGTAATCCTATTGCCACCGTCGAAATATTTCAAGATCTCAAAGTAAGTTCATTAAATTATTTCATCACGTGAGCTTGACATTTTCATTCATGAATATCATATTTTAAGAAATTGGAAGAAGAGCCTAATTTAGAAATAGCGCAAATGATTGGATTGGATAGCGGTGAAACTGATGATCATCCAATTGAAAGCGATTACAACGTTGCTCCACAGGTGACTTTCATCATATATTTCTTAACATACGTTTCTAGATTAAAATTTTGCATATTTATCACTACCGTTTTACATACCTATTACTACTATATCTGATAGGAATTCTTGAGATCTTTACCTGGAGTTACGACAAATAATTATAGATATATAATGTCAAAATTAAAAAATTTAAAAGAATTGGGTCAACTATCTAAAGATGAATTACAAAATATGATTGGTAATGATCTTGGAAACAAATTATTTGAATTCTTTAATAAAGATGTTAAGGAAGAGGAATGAATGAATAATTAATTTTCAAGGAAAGAGGATAGATAAGTCAAAATTGATATTAAAATATATAATCAATCAAAAAATTTGAATTTTCTATAATAATAAAGAAAAGTAAGTGACGAACAATCAAACAATAATTGATAGTCATTTTTTGATATTAACTTTGATCTTCTATTTGTTTATAACCGATTACGATGGTTGTAAATGATATTTTAATTAATGATTTATTTGGTTAAAACCTTTTAAGATCAAAGGTTCGAATTTAAAGTTTAATTGTTTTATTATTTTGAGTTGCAAGTCTATTTTATTAATTTATTATTACACAATTACACAATTACAAAAACAACTATTTAACTTTTGCAAAAATAAATATTTATTTTTATTTTATTTTTTTAAAAAAAAATAAAAATATTAAGAAATTACTAATTAAAAGCAAAGCACCACGTATATTAACCTTTATTCTCTAAAAATAACCCAATTTCAAACTACCTATTTTTTTTTTTTAATTTTCTTTAATATATATATATATATATAATATATTTTCTTTAGTTTGTGTCAATATCCATCGCATCACCACCTAAATTCGGAGATTTTGTCACCATAAGGAACAACGCATGTGATGATCCACAACTTATGCGAACAATATCTTTACTATCAAATTCTCCCGAATCTGGAATCAGAAATGGAGAGGTTGCATCATCTTCTTTCTTGTTTCCCAAAACATAATTATTCCCAAATCCCCATGCATAAATTTTGTTATCCAATTTAATAGCCATCGAGAAATTATCACCGGCTCCTATAAATTTAATTGAGTTGAGGCCTGGGATAACGGTCGGAGTAACCAATCTTCCTTTGGTATCTTTTGATTCTGGTAGAACATTATCACCTAACCCTAATTGGCCATAATCAGTACGTCCAAAACTATAAACCCGACCATCTTGCGTACGAGCAAGCGTATGGTGTTGTCCAACTGCAAACTCTTCAACCTTGTGTCCTTCTCCCATCTTGCTAAAGAGTGAATGCTTTTCAGGAGGGACGATAGATTGTTTTGATACATTCATCCCGCATTGTCCCGTATTATTAAGTCCGAAAACCAATATTTTTCCATTATTATCAATCACAAAGTTGTGATATGAACCAGCATACATTTGTTCGATGTGTTTTAGTCCTAAATCGTATGGTATGAGCGGATTTATCGATCGGCGCTCTGATATTTTTCTGCCAAGACGATATGCTTCCCCGTTCCCCCATACATAGACGTCTCCTTCTTTTGTAAGTGCTAAAACATGGTCGACGCCTGCCGTTATATCAACAATTGTTAAATGTTCGAAGAGTTTGTACCTCGTAAAAATTGGTTGTTCTATATTATGATCATAAGAAAAACCAATTACACCATCTTTTCCCTAATATAAAGTAAAAAAAAAAAATGAAACTCATTAAATGCTAAACAAAAATGAATAAATCAATATATATATATATATATTTATAAAAAAGTATGACAAACCTTAAACGTTCCAGTTGCATATAAATGTCCTTGGTCGGAAATAGCGAAAGTTGCATTGCCTCCACTTACAACCTTTACGATATTTACGTTATTGAGACCTTCGGCATATGTGGGGTTATTTTCTTCACCAATTTCATAGTTTCCTGTATCAAAGATTTCCTTTGCGTATGCTGACTTTGGAGTTTCAGTGAAACGACCAAGAGTGCCTAAAGTTTTTTTTTAATGTAAAGAGAAGAAAGAAATTTAATTAAAAGTTGATCGAGTTTGACAAAGGTGTAACAAAAAAACATTATATAATTTAGCTCACCATGATCGTTACATCCCCATGTTACAATTTTACCATCCGAAGTAAGAGCAGCGCTATGAATAGATCCTGCGCTAATATCGACAATATTAAATTGACTCAAAGATGGAATGAGCCTCACTTTTTTAAGATTTTCGGTTGATTCATCCATACCACATTGAGCACAATCGTTCGAACCAATAGCGTAAACTTGACCAATTTGTTGAGAACGAATAGGAATTGGTATAGCAAAAGTGTCACCTTTTCTACGTTTAGGTTTAAATGCAGCAACCTTATGTTCTTCCTCTTCTACAGCATGATAACCACGTTTCCTGGAAACTTGTCCTACTATGGAACCATTAGAAGTTTTAGGTGGTCTTCCTCTACCTCGTTTCTTAGGAGCTGGTTGCATAACTGGAGGAGTAGTAGTAGTAACTTGAGGAATGGTGTCTTGAATGACGACTGAAGAAGCCACTTGAGTTTCCTGAACAGTGACAATGGAAGGTTGGTCGCCCCTTGAAGAGGTAGCAAACTGAGATGCAGATGTTTCTACTTGAGTAAACTTGACCTTTTTAGAACGTCGACGCTCAACAGTAGTACCACTTGTTGGTTGATTAGTAATATTAACCTGCGAAGTGGAAGCTGCTTCTTCAACAACTCTACGTTTTCTTTTTGTAACAGTTGTACTATGTGTTGTGGTTCGCTTATTCCGAGTGGATGTAACAGAAGTATTAGAAGCAGTAGTTCGTGCAGTTATGTTACGTCTAGGACGGTCCGACATAGCATAAGTTTTTTGTGTAGCTATGTTGCGTCTAGGACGGTCCGGCATAGTGGTGGCAGATGTACTTGACATATTGATAGCAGTCTTCTTTATAAGAAAGTTTAGAATATTTAGAAGAATAGTAAAAAACGTACAATTTGTACCGAGAAAAAAGTCGAAAAGATAATAAAAAAACGGATAAAATTTCTCCAAAGTTGAGAAAGTTAAGAAAATTTGAAGAAAACGAACAAATTTGAAAATCGATAAAATCGATAAAAGTAAAAAAAGGAAAAAAAAAAAAAAAAGAATACAAAAGGAAAAAAACGAAAAAGAAAAATAAGAAAGCTTTGTATTAGCTAAAAGTTATAAAGTGAAGATAAACTCGAGAGAGGAAAAGAAAAAAAAAAAACTTTTATTAGTTTTGTAAAAGAAAATTTTTGTAAAGGAGTAAAAAAGAGAAATTTTGTTTTTAATTTTTTCAATAATTCTGGGTTATATAATATGAATATTATGAGGGTTCGAGGAAAGGAGAAAATCGAGTCTTTTATATGTTTGACCATCGGAAAATTTTCAGGGAATTTGAAGATTCATTTTATCCAATAAGAATTCGTGAAAATAAGGTATGATGTAACTATAAACAAAAGACGTGATCATTTTTTTTTTTTGTAGATAAAACTCGTCAGATATGATTCCATATATATTTCGAAAAGTTAATATTTTTACACGTTTCAAAAGATATAAATTATAATAAAATATATTAACATATTTATTTGTTTTTCATATTTTTTTAAAAAAAAGAAATTTATATTCACAAATATTTTAAAGAAAAATATCATAAAAAACACTACAATCATTCCGAAACCAACCATTGATAATTTCAGACATCAAAACATTGACGTAAACAACCTGCTGATTCGCGACTTAAACTTAAAAAAGTTATTTATTTATTTAAACTTTTTTATTTAACGCGCCACATTCCAATGTTTATTGTATCATTACATATAAATCACATGAGCGAGCGTAAATGAGATAGTCTGTTAAACAAAATTATTTTTGTAGGGAGATGAACGTGTTGTATTGCAAAATGTAGTTTCAAAAGTTAACATTCGCACGTGGTTGTATTATACTTTTTTATTGATTTCACTGATTTTACTACCGTTATATTATCTCTTCGATATGAAAAAAATGGATCGATTATATCATGAAATCTTTTCATCGTAAAAAATTTCTTTTGTAGCCTTATAATACTAAAAAATAAACTCGAAAAGAAAGTTGATGTCAAAATCCGATTATTTAGAAGCTTTCAACGATTCTGTAAGAATTCGTGCGTTTTTTTCTTTAGAAAACGAATAAAATTTTTTTTAAATTTTTGTCATAAAACCGGCCGAATGGATTGTTACAAAAAGAAAGGATATAATAAGGTACGATCATAAAAACAAACATATTCAAAAGATTATAACCGATTAATAATACCTAGAAAACTTTTTCTTTATTTTATTTTTTTTACCCGAAAAAAAAAAAATCTATAATCAATAAGGTTTGCGCAATAATCTAAGGTCCAATAAAAGATGATCGACATTTCCCATTTTGTGCTTATTTATTTTCAAAATAAATATATTTTAAATATAAATGATTTATTTAGTAATTAGGTCATTGTTCAATAAATTTAATTCAGCACCTTTTTTGTCATTCGAACAATTCTTTTCTTTCATAAATGGGCTTGTTTGCATGATTTAAAAATTTTATAATTCTGAAACGCGCCTTGCTTCTCATTCAAATATAACATACTGTGCCTGCAGGTAATTCATTTTTTTAGAACTACGAATTATAATAATATCCTTGGATCAACCTTTTTGACTTCTTATTGTCACTAAACCGGATTTGACACTGGAAATCCGATTATTTCGAAACTCAATTTTAATTAACCTAACTTATATGCCCAACAATGTTGTGTAATATTTAATGTCAAATTCTGCATATTTATATGGGAAAGATTTATTGCGCAATGCATAAAAATTAAATTTGAATTAGTAGGTAACGATTCTATCAACTACTTAAAAAGAAATTAATAATGAACCGTTAATTATCGATGAGTTGGTTTAAAATTTATCGTAAAAAGATTCTTTTCATCAAAGTATTTGGAAAAATATACATTTTAAATTTTTAAAATATTTCATTCCTTTGAAAAATATTTATTTACTGTCTATGCATTGAAAATTTGAAAATATAATTTTACCACATTTCACGTGAAAATCGACAATTAAATTCTATCACAAACTCTCACCCAACAAAATTCCATTGTAAAAAGACCTATATATAGAATAACTTAAATATTTGGAGAAGCAAGATATAGGTCTTAAAGGAACATTTCGACATTTTGCGTAAAGAAGAAATTACCGGTTCTGACTTCAGGGTTGGCAAATGACCTCGAAAAAATCCTCAAATGACCTTAAAATTTATGAGGTCTTGAGGAAATTAAAAAAAGCTCAACATTTTATCGATGATCTTAAAGACCATCATACCAGGTAAAGTTTTTTTTTTTTTTTTTACCTCGTTCAGGATTAATGACAGACAATGCTTACTGATTTCTTCCTAGTACGATATAAACTTAGTGACAAAGATGAAGGTTGTAAGTGATGTAAACGAAATTAGAAATCTTGACGGATCTCTTTGCAGATGATAATGAAGCAAAGCGTTGTGATAAATCATCAGCGTTTTATATTTCGAAGGCATGAAATAAGAAATAACTTTACTCATTGTATTCAATGTGATAGTTCATGTCAAGAATATGTATCGCGGATATAACATTTGGCAGGACATCATTGGGACAATAGTCTGGGACAGTCTTAAAATGTTTGGGTATAGAAAATGTAAATCACTGGCGTTCGGGGGTCTTATGGAGAGGATATTCTGCACAAGTAGATCATCAAGTTTAATTAGGGAATTACTCAAAAGCGTGAAAAGAAAAACTGGAATAATCGTAGGATTATTAAAAATATAAGGAAGTAGATAAGGTCCTAATAAAAAAGGTCTAGGGTAGAAGAAATCCTTTCCCAACAACAATAAATGTTTTATTTATGACCATAGTATGTGACTACAATCATAATTAGAAAATCTTCGTCAATTTATGACTCTCACTTGGTTTATTCAAATATCGATAGTAACTATGAATTATTTTTATGTTTATAATTGTGAATTTAATCATTTTTTTGCATTATATGGTGGTTGTAGGAATGGTATCATGTTAATATCCATTGTTTTTCAGCGAACTTCATGATATGTTCTATTAACTTTACGTATGCCATCAAGAAGTCCAGAATGTTATGAGCAAGACAAATTTCCGTGTGATGTGAAAGTTGTGAGGTCGTGTAATCCTTTAATCTGATCATTGAATTTGCCTTTCATTTGAATTACTAATCTTTGAAGGAATATTTAAAGATAAACAATCGTCGCAATTCCATATATATGCATATTATTCTATTTCGAAATTATGAAACGAAATCTAAAGGTAAAGAGTAAATCTTACATTATAGTATATCATGTTAAAGGTGATAAAAAAATAATGACTTAGCAATGCTAGAGTGGTTGGTTCGAGGATCTGATTAATATTTTGATGTAGAAAGTAGAATTCCTTGCATCACAGATTTAGTAATTTTTTTTTCCTCTCGAACTTTCCAACATATGGTAATATTAAGATTGTGTTTTGACAACCGATGATCCAATTTGCACTTCAATCGAAATTCAGTCATCATTAATTTATTGCAAATGGATAATTATTAATGGTTTATAATTTCCGCAATTTTATACCAATCATTCCTGCTTTTATAGGAAGAGATGATCGGATTTACATGATGCGATCGATCATACTGTCTATGATTTTGGTTTTTGACCATAAGCGTAATTGTATTTGATGACCCGCTTAGATTCATCCATAAATGTTATAACGAACGTGTGGAAAAATAATTCTGCAAGTATGCAAGTACTGGTCCATATGTTAAGCCTCTAGGGATACTCATTGATCCAGATTTTCGTGATGCGATTAGACTTGCATGAATGAAAATTAAATTATTAAATCACAAAATGATGTTACAAACCATTGGTCCTTTTATCCACTTTGTTTAAACCAAACGAAAGTTAACAATATCTAACAAAATATCAACCAATCTAATGAGAATAAATCCGCAAATAAAACGTATAAAGTATAATGTGATGCCTTGTTGTAACACTTCGATTTTTCATAGATGTAACCATTTACTGGGCTATAATTCTAGTTCAGTTATAAAAGATTTCTACACCGTATCATAAGACATACCATATCATTTGTATGCTTTATACTATGATAACCTTATTATATCCGAATAATATATGGGAAATTGTTAAAAATTAAGGTTCTGAGAATTTTTTTGGCTAAATTAAGATTTTATTCTAATAACATCAAAAACTAAATGCAATAAAATCTCAATATGTTAAAAAGTTTCTCGGATCCTGATTTTTTCTAGCAATCTTTTCATATTTTATATTTAGAAAATAATAAAAAAAAAAAGCTTATTATATTACTTATTTAAACAATTAAAATACATTTTTTGAATGAAAACATCAACTAATCCTTCTGAATTAAATATTAAATTTGAAGAATTTATAATATATAATTAATCTCTCTAAAATCACATTATAGCTTTTAATATTATATATACAGTGGCAATCATAAATAATGCAACAAAAAAATAAAATCCTTTAAATTTAAATATTTCTTTCAATTCTAGAAATATCCCGCCTTCTTTAATAAAATTTTATTTGTTAATACCATTAATTTTCGGTATTAAAATTTTTAATATTCATTAATACTTCCGGTT